AAATATAATAAATATATGAGATAAATAAGATAAAATAAATAAAAGAAATATAATATATAAAAGAAATAAATGCTATAAATGTCATAGATGACATAGAAGACATATATGATTTCTTAGAGATCGACGTCATCATTTAGATCATCATCATCCATGTCTTCTTTCATATAACACATAATTTTTTCTGTATTAATATTTAATTATTACATATACTGTATAATTTACAATAGCAAAAATAAAAGTCTATATTATATATAAAATTATAATAAATAAATAAATCATTTTCATTAATTTAGTTCTCTAGTTTATAAAAAAAGTACAAGAAAATGAACCTTATATACTTTACACATACCTAAAAGTTAGATAATAATTATATCATATTCATTATATAAATATTATTGAATTAATTATCATCAAAAATCAGAACTTCTTATTTCTATAAAACAAATAAAAAAATAATATTATATAATAAATATATTAATGAATTTATATTATTTTACAATATATTTAATAGTATTTTTTTTTTTTATAGAAATTACAAAAATTATATATTTATTAAGAAAATTATAATATTTATAAAAATTTTATATTAGCATTAGAAAAATAGTAGTATAGAATTTGATTTTAATTATTTTTAACAAATAATTAAAAAAACTGATCTATTTTTATAAGGTTTTTTAATTAAATGGTAAAGGTATTAGTTATTAATAATATATCTATATACATTAAAGTTGAAGTAAGAAAATCATTTGTGAGTTTATACTATATTATGATTAAAATGTGAAATAAATTTGTTAATAATTTTAAATTAAAAATTGTATTATATTTATCAGTATTAAAAGTATTATATATTACAATTGATATAATAAATAGTATTAATTTTTCTTTTTATTATATAATAATTAATAATTATAAATAAAAACTTATAAATGAATATACTATAAAGATTAGAAAATCTTTCTCTAAATAAGTAAGTATATACCTTAATGATTTTTATATTAAATATGATTTTTTTGATTTAAAAAAATTATATTTTATTAAATTAAAAAATAAATAAAATTTTATAATATTTTTATTGAATTTACTTGATTATTTATTAAAATAATTTTATATATATATATTTATAATTTAAATGATTATTATAATATATATAAAAAAGAAACTTGATACTGTATTTTTGTTTATTACTAAATATATGATTATATATATTTGTAATAAGTTTTAGCATATATGAGTTCTTTGTAATAGAAAGGAAAAAAACTACCAAAAAAATTTTTTTTTTTGCTTTATAAGCTAAATATTATTTTTTTAATAAAATAAGCTCAGATTTAACATTAATTCAAAAAAAATTTTTTTGGTAGTTTCCTCCCTTTCTATTGCAAAGAGCTTATATACCAATTCTTATAATAAAAATAGCAAATATATCTAAACCCTGACAAATCTATGATAATATAATATATACTGATATTTATATCATTAAAATCTATATTCTAATTTTTTATTGATTTATCTGATATTAATATAGTTATTATTATATTGCTATCAACAAAAATAGACATAAAATAGCAAATCTGATTTTATTTTATTTGATCTATGTTAATAATATAATTTATGTTTTTTTTATAATACAATATATAATATGTATTATTAATAATTAAATATTTATATATAAAAGTTTTAGATATGTAAAAATTTATAAAAAAGTATTTAATATATAATAGAATATGTAATTAAAAAATATAAAATATAAATAGTTATTATATAATTTATAAATTTAATATTTTTAATTTACTGTATTTTTTTTGATTTACAACATCTTTTTATAGGAAAACTTCAGGATAATGCTTAAATTCAGAATTTTTTATATATCAAATTTTTTTTTGTATTTTATAATGATGATTTTTATATATTATACTTTAGAAAATTAATAAAATAAAAGAAAATTATAAATAAAAAATAGTGATTTATCTAATGAATTGAAGATAAAAAATTAGAAACAACCTTTTTTTTAAAATAAAATATAATATATAATAATTTTTTTTTAAACTTGAGATTATAATTATTTTTGTTATTTAAGATTTTATATCAAAAATCATAGCGTTATTTAAAATCAGAAAATTACAGTATATAATTTTATATATTTATATATAATTTATAAATTTGTTACTAAAAAAATTTACTATGATTAGATATATAAGCTTATAGTATTTTAATCATAATAATATGATTGTTTTCTGATTATCCTATACTATTATTTTGTAATTTTTTATTTATATAATCTTAATCCGACTTTTTAAAAAAAAATATAGATCTTTTTATTTAAATAAACATACAGTTTACTATAAAGATTATTTTAAAAAATATTAGTTGTTAATAAAATTGCATTTGTATTTCTAACTATTTATATAGTTTTTAATGTATTAATTAATGTAAAAAAATAAAAATAAAAATGTCAAGAAATCAAATTCTCCTGATACTGATCTAATCGGAAGAAAAAATAAACGTCCGCAGTACAAAACTTACGAAGCACTATCCCCAAGGTTTGAACCTTAAAAATGTGATATAAATCGGGAGAATACGGTATATATATACTTATTATATTGTTTTACCAATTATTAAATGATTAATGTACTTCTAATATTATTTTATATTCTGTTTTCTTTATTCTGTTACTTATTTACCGTAGTTTTTTTTTTCTTTATAATTTACAGTATTACGTTACCAATAATTAATGTCAGTTGATTGCTCTCTTCAAACCCTTATTTATAAAGGGTTAGAGTTAACGAATACTGACATTTAATTGAGTAGTGTTATATCTTGTCCTTTTGGTATTTCTTTTTTTATTTATCTATAAATTGCTATGCCACAAGTTTACTGTCGCATCACATTAAACAAAATTGCTAATGAAAAATAGATTAGATGGATCACACATTTTTTTTTAAAAAAAAGTCGTCATTCACAAATGCACTAAAAAATAATCAGATAAATTAAAAAAGGGCGAAAAATATCTTTAGGATTAAAGTTTGAATTATTGTAACCAACCAATAATTTAAATGATTTTTTAGAAAAGGAAGGAAATAACTAAAAAATGGGTAAATGAGATTTTGATTTTATTTTCAGCCTGAAGTAATTTAAGTAATTTCGGAATTTTTTTCCATTTTACTGCAAAGCGCCCATTGATGATCGACAATAATAATCTTTCATACTCCGTTATCCAATAATCATGATTTTATAAAATTATGTGAAAAAACCCCGATCATTCTGTGCATTTATGTCATACGACACTAGTAATGGCAAATTACACTAACCATTTAGATATCCTAATCATAAATTAGTTCTAAAAAGTTAGATCCGAATCTCAAAAGGACAAAGGAACGGGAACACTTCAGAACTTCAGTTCCTTTGTCACAATCAAAACTCATCCAAAACAAAAAAGAAAGTTTAGTAATTGTGATCGTTATCTTTCATGGCTGAAATTTTAAAAAAAATTTATTAAATAATTGTATTAATTTTAAAAATTGTTTTTTGGCAAACTTTTGATGAACTTTGTAGTTAGTTTACTTAGATCATAAATGTTAAAGGATGGATTACATTAGATAAAGTTTTCAAAACTTCTTTATATAGTTTGTTGTAATATTATTATTTTTACATATACATGAGTAAATAATTTGTATTTGATTAACTAATGCAAATTAACTACTTACAAAAACTAACTTAAAAAAACGCCCGGCGAAAAAAAACCTCGAGTTGAATTGAATTTCTAAAAAAAAACATCTACAAAAAAATTATATGAAACTAAAAATACAAAATAAAATGAAAGAATATTCACAAATGCTTAAAAAGTTTGAGAAAAAAAAATTTTTTTTTTTTTTTTTCTAATGATTTTTTTTTTTTTTTTTGATTTAAGATTTTGATTTTTTTTTGATTTGAAAAAAGGGTGGGGTATTGAATAATAAAATATGATGGTGAAATTGTTATTATTATTATCTTTAAATTCGTTCAATTTTCGATAAAGATATTTTCAAAGATTAAAAAATTTTTTTTTTTTTATTCTTCCAAATCTTCGACTAATGAACGAATTCATCAATTTGAGAATCGCCATGTGTCCGTTTTCCAATGGAAGCCAAATGTGAGACGCAACTCCAAAGTTTAACTTCCCCTTCTATACGTTTCTTGCGTTCAATACGTCTAGTATTTATTGATTTTTCCGAACAATTATCATCATCTTTTACGCTGCTATTACCATCACTACTAACAACGCTTGTGGCGTCATCATCATCAACATTCACGTTTGAGGAGTATCCAGCAACCCTTCTTACGACAAACTTTGTGATGGAAGTATTCTTTGCTTTGTGTTTCATGCTTAAATAATCGTTAACATGAAACCCGAGATCCATAATTAGGTGCTCCTTTACTAATTTATTTATTGTACCACCATGAGTCACGATGACAATGTGTGGATTTCGATTCTTTCCGTTATCCGATTGTAATCCACCAGACTTCTTTGGTAAATGTCTTTCGACCAAATCATTAAAGAAATCGACAATTTGAGCTTTAAAATCTTCTTCGGGTTCCCCATAATCATCCCATGCGAGTTCTTCATTTTTAATTAAATCCAAGGCCTCGTAAATTGATAACCCGCTTAATCTGCCGAGGTCCTATATATTGTTTTAAAAAGGAATGAGAATTTTTTTTTTGATTTAATTAAAGTTGAGCGAATATAAATAAATAAAACTCACCCTTTCACGGATTCGATTATCCACCGAGAACGGTACGCCAGAATGATGTTTGGCGATGGCTTCTGCCGTCTATCATTGAAATTACAAGATATATGAGAAATACGATATCACAGTTATCATGATACACGTGTAATTATTAATATAAATTCATACCTTTTTTGCTCTGGATAAATCACTTGAATAAATATGATCGATCTTTAGTTTTCGCAACCGTCGTCCAACAGACTCTGCCTGTTCTCTACCGGTTTTATTCAACTTTGTATCTAAAATAGGACGTGTCAGGGGGGTGAATCTAATGAATAACTTTGTCACACTGCCAAAATTTATTTGACAACCAGATGAAAAACTCCTTCAGCATACCTATATGACCTTGTAAAATACGATTCAAGTTAGAACTCGTTTCGGCATGCCTAACGACTGTAACGTGTAACTGCGGTCTAGCAGACATATTTCACGGGTTTATAAATAGATAGATTGTATAGATAAAAATGTATGGATGTGATGATATTGAAATTGGATAATTATAATAATAAATTAAAAGGAAAAAAAAAAATATCTTCTTTTATTACTGTCTCGACGCTTGCGGCGGCAGTAAAGAAAGAAAAAAAAAAAAAAAGGAAATATTCAAGTGTTTAAATAAATGTGAATGGATGGTCTTTGATGATTGTTGTTGAGTAACCTTTTGGTTGTAGTCTTTATTGGGTAGCGCAAATTTTACGTTTTGTCTCACTTGTTTATTTTATTTTATTTTTATTTTAATTTTTTTTTTTTTTTTGTGACCAAGGGATTGAGGAAGACAAAAGAAAATGAGTAACAAAAAAAGAGGGTTTTATACCTTTTTTCAACAAATTCACAATGAACTGTTTAATTTTTAATTTTTTTTATTTATTATTGATTTTTTTTTTTTTTAATCACGCAGTGTTGCTGATTTTATGAAACGTTTATTCTTTTGAATGACGATTAAAAAAAAACTTTTTTTTTTATTTTCACAATAATCATAACCGACATAAATAGTTAACTGTTAATCATAGTATAAATTGATAGTTTATTAAATATATTATTAATACAATCAGTTTCTTTATTAGACTCTTTGGATGAGAGTCAGCCGCGACAAATTATAAAAAAAAAAAAAAAAGGATCATCCATAACATAAAAGAGTTGAGGCTTTTTGTTTAACCTGTTTAACGTATCACTCACTATACTTGAATTTTTTTTATTTGATCTCAAAAAAAGTTGAAAAAAGATAATTATGTAAACCAACATCATTACATCAAATTAGAAAAAAGGTTGTGTTTGTAACAATCAACTTTCAATTAAAAAGGAGAAAGAGAGGAAGAAAAAAAAAAAAAAAGGTGTACCTTAAAGGATTAACAATGGAAATGAATTTCTTAGACGTGTATCATATGTGACCAATGCAAAAGGTAATATATTTCTGCAACTTCCAAACGGGGTGCAAATAATTCATGCCGTGTCAGGGATTTTTCCCTTTGAATGAAAATTTTCACTCTTTGTTTTTTTTCTTCTCGTTCCTTTAAAAGTTCCCACAAAGTTGGGATAGGGGAGAACGTGATAATTCCCGTACTACCTATTGGGCGTTCGATTTTTGTCATCAAAAAAAAAAATTTGAAATTTGAAATGTAGTAATAAGCAAAGTAGATTGATACAGATTACTTACATTTCTGGTTTCAATTAAAAATTTGTGACAGGTTTGATAAATTATTGTTTATAGGAATTTGCCGCCTAAAATGAAATACATTTCTAAAAAAGGATAGATTCCTATTGAAAGGGAATTTCCGGGAAATTAAGTTAACGAAAATCTTATACTGCGGCAGCGAGGAATTCATATATAACTTTACGCGCTAATTCACTTTGCCGAACGTCATGTATGTACGGTAAGTGGATCAAAAAAAATTTTAATTTCAGGCTTAGGATCAAGGTTGAAATCAAGAAGACTTTTGAACATTCTTTACCCAAAAAGAAATTAGAACCGTACATTAATTAAATAAAAATGCATGAAAAAAAAAATTAAATAAACAATGCAAAAAAAAAAAACGGTTATTCTCATACATATCTTTATCTTTATGAATTTCAAATGTTTCCACATTAAAATATCAATTGGGATGCATATGCGTCAATACTTTAAATGAGAAATTCGAATTTTCGACGCAAAAGTCTGCTGACCGACTGAGCCTTGGCGCAGCATGGCGAATTGCGCATCACGGATGAATTTTAGGTAGTTAAGATTTGGGTTCATCAATAGATTCATTGCATTATCAAACATAATCGGGCATCCTTGAGCATGAAAATACAATGCTTTAAAAAATTTGCGGAGGCCCTTTTTTTTCGCGCGTTTTAAATGACAAAGGAAGCCACTAAAACAAATCATACCACCATATCTCATGACCTAATTGTTTTTTTCACGTGAGTCAGTTAAATTTTAAATAAAGTTCGTTTTTGTCACGAGATTCCATGGTTGCGCAACAGATGAACGTTTCAAAAATGCAGAGATCAATGAACTTCTATATATGTCTAGTGCACGAGACATTTAATTTATACATCGGCGATAACTGCGGTGCTGATTTGTCCTTGTCGCCAAAAAAAACGTGCGTGCCGTTGATGCAGAAGTGGAATCGGTTAGTTTATTTGTCAATATTAATTTTATAGATTTTGTCGCCCGTTTCCGGCACGTTGCGCAAGGAAAAAAATGTCGGAGATACCATATTTTTTTTTATTTGCATGTTTATTTGTTCGCTTTCCGACGAAACATATTTCTTTGATTTCTTGATTTCTTGATTTAGAGGAGAGATAAGAAAATAGATCAAAAAAAAAACCTCCCCTCATCTGTTTACCATCGTTTCAAATGAGACCGTTATTAGAAAATGTTTAAATGAAAAATTTGTGGCTAAACAATTCTCACAACAAATAAATCCTTGTTTCACCATAATAAGTTTTTCGTCTCTTTACTGGCTGTAACCAAATCGTAATTGTTTATCATTATGTGCAGTTTTGTTTTGGATGCACCGAAATGTTTTCGTAAATTTATTAACCGAACGCGAAAAAGTTCATGTCATTTCTTTTCGGCGAATAAAAAGGTTTGTATAACAAAACACGAGTAACTGTATCTTATTCTATGACACCTTTTTGTAGAATTGGTATTTTCCATGGAATTTTCACGGAACTGCCAGTTCCCTGTTTTTTTTGTTTGTACGATAGTCATCAGTATCAGTTTATCTAAATTCGTCAAATGTCAACAATCAGCAAATAAACAAATAATTTTGGTTGGGAAATGCATTAAATAATAATAAACCTTGTCATTACTGAATAATATGGTCAATCATGTCCGATAATTCTTGTCAAGTTTCTATAAATAATTAATGGAATGAAACATAAATTATGAAATTTTCCTTTAATACCAAAAAAATTTAACTTGATTTTTTTTTAAAAAAAAAAGTCTTTGTTCGAAACTTGATCCTTCTTCGCTTATTTCAAAGGATATGCTTTAATATGGCGAAAACTCGATTGCTAAAATCAAATTCATTGAAAAATATCAAATTTAGAAATCTATATATTATATCCATATTTTGTCAACAATGCCACTTAAAGCTAAACCTTTTAGAGAAATTTGTGTACCTCTCTATAAATAGATGCTGATGCCGATTGCGCTAAAAAAAAAAAAAAAAAAAAATTTATTCTCTTTTTAATCATTTAATACCTTAAATTAAGTTACTTATAATTTTATTTTATCTCTTCGAATAACTTTAAAAGATGTCTTCTGATGTTGGTAGTCACCAAAATCACAATCCTTCGGAAAATCAATGTGTTTTTTGTACTGTAGCATCAGGAAGAGATACTACAAGTTTATTGCATGTTGTAAGTATATAATTAGGATTCACTTTCATTTGAGTATAAATTCTTCGTTTGTTCATCAAAATCTATTAAACAATGAAAAAAAAATAAAATGAAGGATGAAAGTATTGTGGCATTTAATGATAGAAAACCAGCTGCGGATCAACACATACTTGTCGTTCCAAAAAAACATCTCGCAAGTATTAATGATTTAAAAAGTCACGATTTAGAAACAGGTAATTTAATCAATTTGTATTTTCAATTCATTCATTTTGTTCGATTAAATCATTCAATGTTTAACATATCTCTGTATTTTTATTTTTTAAAAAAAAAAATTGTAGTTAAAAAAATGAAAGAAGTCGGTTTACAACTTATTTCTGGTAGATTATGTAAATCAGTTGATGAATTATTAAAAAGTAATATTACAAAAGAAAGAGCATATCTGTAAGCACCATTTCTTTTTTTTTTCTTAAAAAAAATAATAATAAAATAAAGAAAAAATTAAATATTATTCCTTTTGCAATAATAGGATGGGTTTTGTTTCACCGCCCTTTAATAGCATCAATCATATTCACATGCATGTCCTTTCTACGCCTATAACAACTTGGTGGCCAAAATCTTTAGGTTTTGGTAAATTTATTTTTAGAAACGTTGATGATATAATTGCTAAGATAGAAAGCCAGCAGAAATAACATACAGTATACCGAGAGGAATGGTTTGAATTAGATAAAGAATTGTACATAATCCCTTGGGAAAAGTAAAATATTTTAAAAAAAAGCTAACTTTCTTATTTATTTTTTTTGGTTCAAAAATCAATTTTTAAATAAAAGAAATAGTAACATAAAAAACATTTTATATATAAAATATATATGAATATATATTGAAAAAACATTTATTAAAACTAAATTTTTAAAATAATAAATAATAAATTTATTAAATGAAATAAAATTGTAAGAAATATTCTTAACAATTTTTTACTCTTTTCTTATAAGCATTTATAAGATAAAATATTTCATTATCTTTTGTGATATTTTTTTTTGAAAATATATTTTCTGAAATAAATGTTATAATAAATCTGATCAATAAAATTTCATTAAATTCTAATATATATCTTATATATTTTAATTTACATAAAATTTACATTTAAATAATAGCTGTTATAATTTTATTTATTATAACTAATAATAAATTAATTAAAATTATAACATTATTAACTTAATTAAATTAAGCAATTATTTTATTAAATTTAAATGAATCTTAAATTTGAATGATAATAATATTAATATTAAATCTTTAGAAATTTTAACTTTATTTAATTACTTGTTATAATTATTAAGTATATAGATATTTTTAAATTAATTGATCATAAAACTAATATAGTTAATAAAAAATCAGATAAAAAGTTTGATATAGAAGTCTTAGTAAATAGTATCTTAAAGTAATATTAAATTTAAAATTTAAGACTTTATAAGATTTTATTTTATTTTTAATATATATATAATAAGATTTATCAAATTTATATATAATCTATATAATTAAAAAAATTTGTATTTTTCTGTTAAATTTAGTTTATCCTGTATAATAATAATAATTAAATTACATGTTACATAAACTTTCAAAAAAAAAAAATGCTTAAGAAAAATGAATTATGATTATACAAGTAATAGACTAATAACTAGTAAAAATTGTTTAAATATTTATATGATTAGTTTTATTTATATGAACAATTATAAGAAATATATATATATATATATATATAAAGAGATTTTAAAAGTAGTATTTAAATGAAAATTTAAATATTTTTAAATATAATTTATAAAATTTAAATAAATTTATTATTAATAATATTTAATTATTTTTTTCTATTATTTTATTTAAATAATTTTTTAAAAAAATAAAATAATACATGATTTATATAAATATTATAATATTATAGATTGAGTAAATTTATTCATCGTAAACATGATATCATTGTCTCCTTTTTGTCACCTGTATTACACTTTCTCTCTTTTTCATTTTTTATATATATTCTGAGATTTAGAAAATTTTTTGTGTGTAAAATCCTATTTATCACATATATTAGTATTATATGTTTTAGAGTTAGGTTAAAGTTATGGTAAGGTATATATATAAAAGTGATGTATAAGAAGTATCGCTTTTCACAATAAATAAATTTACTCTTATAGATTTTATATTGCAATTCAATTATATAAAAAAATATTTTTATAAAATTTCTTTTTTTTTATTAAATTGATTTCTAAAATTATTTAAATTTTAATTTTTATTAAATTTAAACAATTACATATAAGATTATATGTATTTTTCATAATAATATTGATTGTTGATTTTTTTTTATTTTTTATTTATTTAATATATTTTAATTTTTTTATTCAAATTAAATTAATTTTGATCACTTTATTTATAAATTTGATATATTATTTAAATTTCAATTTTTATTAAATTTGAATTTTTTTAATTAAATTAATAATTAAACTAATAATTAATCTATTAATTAATAGTTAAATCCTAATTAAATTAGTAATTAAATTTATAATTAATTAATTATTAAATATTATAAAATATATTATAATATTATAAGTTAAAATGTACTTTAATCAAAAACTTTTAATACAATTTTTTTGATTATTAAAATATTTTTGAAAAATTAAAATTTTTATAAAATTTTTATATTTAATCAAATGATAAATTAGTCTACTTAAATTATATACTCTATAATTACTAAGTTAACTATAAATTTAATATAAAGTTTATTATATATAATATTCTAAAAAAAATTTCTATAATAAATTATAAATAAATTTAAATTTTCTTATTAAAAGAAGTAATCTAAGTTAAGTTTTGTACATATCAGACTAGTAAAATTAATTACCAATAATTTTTATCATATATTTATATGAATATACTACAACAAAACTAAATAAATGAATATTAGTATTACCAAATATTTTAGGAATCAAATTTAATAATATAATTTAATAATTTTATAAATAATTTTTGTTTTTTCTATAAATAATATATAAAAATATCCCTATAAAAAAATAATTAATATGAAATTAATTTATATTAAATTTACTATGAAATCTAATAATTATAGTATTATTAAAGAAAAAATAAGATAAAAAAATAGGTTCTGGAAATTTTTTAGCAAAATTGAGATTTTTATTGCATTTTAATTTTTGATGTTATTAAATTAAAATGTATTAAGCTCTTAATTTTAGTCAAAAATTTTTCAGAACCTGATTTTTCTAGAAACCCTTCTATATAATACTTAAATATTTAGTTTATTTTTAAAAAAAAAAAAATTATTTATAAAATTTATCAAAAAAAAAAATAATAATAAATATTAAAAAAAAATAGTATAAAAATATACTATTATTCAACAAAAAGCAAAAATCACTTAAAGAAAAATATCTTATTATTACAATATTAATTTATTTATTTTTTTTTAGTTCTTTTAAAAAAATTATATTATAATAATATAAAACTTAAAATTAAAGTTATATCTCTTATTTATAATAATATAAATTTATCATCAAAATTTTCTTTATTTTGAAGTAGTATTTTATATTTTTCAGTAGTTTTAGTAGAAATTTCATTTTTTAAGTTAGCAATAGTAGTTTTTATATTTGAATATTAGGATCTTATAATTTTTTATAATACTTGTAATCAGATATTATATAATTTTTTTTAGATTAGTTAACAAAAATCTTATTAATTTTTAAAATTATTTTAAACTATCATTAATAAAAGACATTAAAATTATTTTCTTTTATATAATTAAAATAGTCAAATATTTTTATATTATTAATATCTTTTAATTTTACTATATTTAAATTATATTACAAAAGTCTCAAAAAATTATTTTTTTTTTGACTTAATTATCACAAATAGTTATATTTTCATTATTAAAAGTAGCACTAATAACTATTAATTTATCTATAAATTTTTTGATAATATTTTAATAATTCTTTAAAAATAGATAATAAAGATATATAAAAATTATATCTAATACTTATATTTAAAATTATTCTTATTAAAATCTTATCTCTTCTTTTTAACTAAGTTTTTAAATTTTTAAAACTTTTTTCTTTTTATTTTCATTTATATTTTCTAGTTCTTTTGTTTATTTTTTAATTTATTTCTTTTTTTTAAAATATTTTAATTTAATGTAAAATAATAAATTATTAGTATTATAATAAATATATTAATAAATATAATTATATTTAAAATCTTTTATTAATCCTAAGATAATTATTATTATTAAAACTAAGATATCTCTTTTTATAAGATAAATTTTACTTCTATTTATAATAATTTAATATTAATTAATTCTGTAGATAATTCTTTTAATTTCTAATCTTTCACTAATATTTCTTATTTTAATTTTTAATTTTCTAATTTACTGATTTTATTATTATTATATTATATCTATTTTTAGATCTCTAATTAATTTTTCTTCTTTATTTTATGTTTTATTTTCAATTCTTTTTTTTTTTGTAATCTTGTTCTTATTATTTTATATTCTTATTTTTGTAGATTATTATATTATCATTATATATTTTTTATTATGTAGTATTATTACATATTATCATTATATTATATTTATTTTTAGATTTTTTTTTTATTTCTAGCGAATATTTTTTTTCATTTCATATTTCTTATAATTTATATAATAATTTTTCTTTTTCTTTATATTTTTATATATATTCAAGTATTTTATAATCTTATTTTTTTAGTTTTTCTATTTGAATTTTATATAACTTTTGTATATATTTGTAAATTATTTTATTTTTATTTAAATAGTTTTTTCATTATTAATTTTCTTTTTTTATAATTTAGTAATTTTTCTTTTATAACTTATAAAGTTATAATTATTCAGTATTTTGTAATCTATCTGTATTACTTATAATATAATTTAAGTTTTATCATATATTATATAATTTATTATTTATTAAATGTAAGGTTGCTTCTCTAAACTTATTTTAGGTTTGATAAAATATTTAAATTATAGTTTTACTAATTTTTTACTAGAGTTTTGATATAGTTTTATATTTTTATAAACTTTGATATAATTTTACCTTTTAAAATTTCACAGATTTTAAATATAATTTTAAATATAATTTCAAAAAATTTTATTTTTTTATATTTAGATAATTTGCAAAACCTTTAGATTTTATCTAATAATCTTAATTATTATGATCTTTCATTTGATTAGTTATTTTCTAATCTCTTAATTTTATAATTATTTTGATAATATTTTCTTTTTATTGATTAAGTTATGTAATATATTATTTTAAGATTTCTTGACTCTACAATATTTTTAAATAAAAAAATATAAACTTATGCATAATAAATACATTAAATATAATATAATATAAATAAAAATATATAAGTTTTTTACTAATTTATTCATAAATTTAAAAAAAAAATAAAATTAAAAATGTTTCTATAGATATTAAAATGTAAAATTTAAAATAAATTATTAATTTTTTAAGGTTTAAACTAGAATTTAATGAAAAGTATATTGAAAAAATTAAAGAATAAAAGATAAATAATTTAACTTTTTCTATTAAAAGAAAAATTATTATTTGTAAATTAAAATTATTTTAGAATTGTTATTATTATTATAGAATTTATTAATGAATTTAAAGTAAGAGAAAAAAAATATAAATATAATATAAATCTATAATTATAATATATAATAATAGGTTAAAATAAACAAATTACTATTATTATAATAAATATTTATAAGTAATACAGATTTTTTATATAATATAATACTTTATAATACATATAAAATAATATGTTAAAAATTACAGATTTAACCCTTATTTGTTTAATTAATATATAATTAATACAAAAATTATAACAAATATAAAAAAAAATTATTATTTTATAGGATTATAATTCCTTTTTATTTTTCTAATTTTTTGTATAAGATTTTCTATAATAATAAATAAAATTATACATTTTATTTAATAATAAATATTATAATAATTTTTTTATCAATATTTAATGAAAAATATAATATATTACTAGTATAATATTCCTATTATTTTATAATTATAAATTGAATTGCATTATTTTATTATAATTTTAATCTTTTTATTATTTAAAAAATATAAAATAGCCATTATTATTTAAACTTTATTTTCATAAAATTACTTATAAATATCATTATATAAATATATTATTAAACAATAAATTATACATTTCTATTTTTAATTAAACTAAATAAAAAAAATTATTTTTTAAATAAAATAATATTATATAAATAAAAAGAAAAATTTTCAAAATATATAAACATTAACTTCTTTATAAGTTTCTATAAGCATTATAATAAACTATTAAAAAATAAATAAAGATTTTTAATAATTTTTTATATAAAAAAATTAACTAATGTATATATATAAAAAAATAATTTTATTACTATAATACTTATTATTATATAAATATTTCATCAATTATAAAAAATGTAAATGCTTTTTTTGGTAAGATATTGTCTAATATAAGTTGCAAAAAAGTTTAATTAATATAGCTTCATTTAAAAATATATAATATTATAAAAAGCAATTATATTATTTTTAAATTAAATGTTTATAAATAGTATTAAGGATTAAATGTATTTATAGAATGTTAAGATTTATTTTATTTAAATAATTAAAATAATCATTAATTTTAACAGCAAATTTAATTAATTTTATTTAAAAAAATTTTTTTTTATAATATTTTATTATAGTTAATTTTAAAGTCACAAGACAGATGATCATTTTTGCAGATTGATAAAAAACTACGTAAAACTCAGTATAGAATTTTTTGAAAAAAAATATAATTACTATGTTTAGATCAGTATTTTGAATATAGCGACATAATTTTTTTTCACATATATAAATATGATTAGTTTTTCCAATTCCTTATAAATATTCTCAGATATTTTCAACTATCCTATAACTTATAAAATTAGCTGTAATAAATTTCTAATAATTTAGAAATTTAGAAATTTAGAAATTTTTAATTAATTTTCTAGTATTTTATTAATAAAACTTGATATATATTAAACTTTGATTTATTTTTTAGTTTTTAGATAATAAGTATTACTGAATTTCTAATTTTTAATGATAAATACATCTAGATTTCCAATAATATATTCAAAAATTTAGTATTTGATTCTAAAAATCAGATTAGTATTATATGATATTTTTATAATAAAGGATAATAATATTTATATATAAGTAAGATAAAAAAAAAAAATAATAATTAATTAATAAATAAAGTTTCTTTTTAAGTTTTTATTAGTAAATACTATTATAATTCTTAAAATTTTAAATATTATATATTGTAAACAAATTAATAAATATATAATATATAATTTTATCTTTTTATAAATTAATTTTATATAAATGTAAGCAAAAAGTATATAAATAAAGAGTAAATATAATATTTTTTTTAGTAATATAAAGATTATTAATTTAAAAAATTTTTTAATTTAATATTCTTCTAGTAAAAATAATTAATTTAAAAATTTTTTAATTATTTTAAAGTCTTTAATATCTTCTTTAGTTTTTTAGAGAAATTTAATTTATAAAGTTTTTTTTATTTTATAATAAACAGATATTTAGTTTTTTTTTAAATTTTTGTTAATTTTTTCTTAGTAAAGGCATTAGTCTATTACATATTTTATAATTTATCTTTGGTTTTTTTTAATTTTTTTTTGATTTTATTTTTAATATTTTTATCTTTTGAACTTACTTTTATTCCTTATTAATAAATATTATTAAATTAAATCAATTTAAAATTTTTATACCTTTGTAAATTATTTTATTTATAATTTACTATTAGAAGTAATAAAATGTTACTTTTATAATTAAATTTTATATAATTTAAAAGAATTTATTACTCAAATATTTTATAATTTATTTGATATCAGTAATTTAAAATAATTCTAAATAAAAAATAGATTCAAGTTTTTGAATCTATATTTTATTATTATATAAAGATTTTGACTTACATAAATAATATCATTTAAAAAAAAAATAGTAGTCAGATTTATTTTGCTAGGTAATTATTATTAAGATTAATTAAAGTATAATTAGAATTAGTTAAAAGAGTTAGAAAATTTATTATATCATATTACATTCTAACCATTTTTCATTTTACTAAGTATTCTGAAAACTTAGAAATTTTTTTGTAAGAAAAATACTAATTATCATAATTATATATATCACATTTATGTAATATAATAAATAAATCTAATTATTATTTTTTAGAGTGATATCAGGATAGTTAAGATTTTATTTTTATTAATAAAAATGATTTTTTAAAAGATATTAATTTAAGATATTAAATAATATTAAAGTAAAAGTAAAAATTATATTAAATAATATAAGTTTTCATTTCATTTTTTTTTTTAATTTAAATAAATAATAAAATTTAATTTTTTTGAAATACTTTTAATAATCTACTTTCTTTAATTTATAGGTTTATTAAATATAATTACTTTTAATTATGATAGATTAAGCCTAAAAAATTTTTTTTTTTTTTGCAAAATGTAAAAATTACTTTCTAATAATTAAATACATTATCTAATAATAAAGTTTTTCAAAGATATTGTCATGTTATACACAGTTATTTAAATTTTTACTTATCAAATATTGACTTTTAAAAAATCAGAGTTTGAATGTCACGTGCATAATAAAAGTTTCGAGTTTGGGACCAAACCAAGAATGCATATAGAAAGAATTGCACTTATGGAGGCGCACTTATGAAGGTGATATGACATTCAATTTTAAACAAAATAACAAATATTTAGTGGATGACCATACAAATATATTGAACCATTCGACAATTTTTTATGATCTTATGTTCAAATACTCACGGCTAAAATTCAAATTTTTTTATCAGATGCAGTGGGTCTATATTATCTGGTCTAAGTAGCCTTTTTATAAATTTCATTAAAGTACAATAATTATAAAAATAATTATAAATACATTAAAATATTAAAAATTTCTTATATCTCAATAGTACTTTTCCATAATGAATCATTTAAATAATGAACATTTTCAACTCCGATGTCCCTATTAATGTTTTTACTACAAATTCAAAAAAAATATTTGAGAAATCAATATGGTTAACTTAACTTTGTAATTGTAATAATAATAAGAATTACTTACATGTCTTGAGTTGACTTTTTAGTTAAACCAATAGCAAGAGCATGTTCTTTGCCTTCGGCAAATACTCCAACAACTGTATTAGCAGGCAAATCTTCATCCATTCTTGCGCCCTTACTTGTAAGTCCCGGACACATAATATTTGCTCCTGATAAAATAAATTTTATTGCTCCTTTGTCTACCTGCAATTTCGGAAAAGCATCAGGATCTTTTTAGAAAAAAAGAAAGAAATGTTATTATAGTCATTCGTTAACGATGGTGCATTGAAATAAAAGTTAATTACATTTATGAAGCAATCTTAAAGTTGGATAATAAGGTCCATCAAAATGTTGAAAAAATAATATTTCATTATTGACTGTGAGTAAATTAATATGTTCATGACTATATTAAAAAATAGAGAATTAATTAAAATTGAGAATCTTAGCTTGCGAATAAATTTAACAATCATAGAGAATTTACCATTTTACTAAGGCTAATGAGGATTTTTTTGGCAGTACTTCTTCAATTACAGATTCTAATTTATTATATTGTCCTAAAATTTTAGCACGAATATTTCTTTGAACTGACGTTTTTACTAAGGATTGAGTCGCTATATCTTCTTTAATGTTAAATCTCCAAAAGTAGGAAATAGAAAGCAGATTAGTTGGCAGTCACAAAAGAACACATAAGCGAACAGGAAAGAAGTTATATATACTTTTTAAACATTGTGAATTTTGTGAAGAGTGCAAGCCTTTACCAAGATTGTTCTGGGTTTTGAATTGAAAATTATTGGCTGATAAATTGTGTAACATGATCAGTGATCGAACTTCCCAAAACTTAAAAACGGTTAAAAGAACGATTTGATTTTTTTGTCAACAATATGCAAGATCCTAACAAATCAATCGAAATTAGTAGTACATCGGTAAGTTTAAACTTAAAATGTTTATGCGCGTACCATTAGTCAATTGACACTATTTTTTTCGTAGGTTTTAGATTTAAAAGCTGAACTTTTTAAGCAAAAAGAAGAGTTTGAGAAGCAAAAAACAGCAGCAAACAATCAAACTTTTTCTGCTGTTGCGAGAAAAACAGCAAAGGTTTGTAAAAAAAAAAAATAAAAGAAAAAACAATTTTTCTTTTTATATCCTAATTGTTTTCCTAATCTAATCTAATTGGAAAGTTCCTTATTTGTAGAAACCAGATGTTTGGGAACGTCAAAATAAGGGAGTACTTGAACGATCGAATCGAGATGAATTGGAGAAGATAGATGCGCCAACATTGGAGGCCAGTAGAGCCGCCATGGAAAGAAAAGCCAAATTATATGATCATCTAAGAAAAACGGGCATAAGTGGTAAAAATATTTAATGGAGAATTTACTTTAAGTTAGCCTTTACTCGAACGTTATCAATTGGTCTAATTTGTTATAATTTATGGTATAGATGATAGGTTAGCGGAAGAAGTTTTAGTAGATTTTGATCGAAAAATGTGGGAACAACCATCGGTAAGTAGAGTTATCAATATAAAATTTGATATTTAACCGCCTTTCATTAACTCCAATCAGCTATGTATAGGACGAACCTACAGAGGATAAAGGTAAAGATGAAGATCCCTGGGTAGAATATGTAGATGAATTTGGAAGAACACGGTTGGCACGAAAAAGTCAAGTGCCCAAAATAGAATCACCAATTGCCGGGTAAATTATTATTAATTTTTTTTACTAAATTATTCTTACATTAAACTAAATTTTTTTTTAAATTAGGCCAACGTTACCAACCGTTGACGATGAATTAATATCGGAAGAAACGTTATTAGAACAAGTTCGAAAGCGTTGGGAAGAAACTGCCAAAGCAGAATTGGACAGTACGTAAATAAAATCTTTGTGAAAACTTTTAATGAATTTTTATTTATTTATTAATTTTTTTTTTTTTGTAATCATAGAGGGTGTAGGTCCTATTCATTACGATGAAACGAAAGGTGTGCATCTGAATTTGTGAATATTTTGATTATTTTATTCGAGAAACATTAATAGTTTTATTGTGATCTACAGAAATTCGCACGAAGGGTGTTGGTTTCTATCGTTTCTCCAAAGACGAAGAGGAACGTCAAGAACAAATGCGTGCTTTAAAGCAGTTGCGTCTTGAGGTTAGTATGAAATATAAAAGCAATTTAAGACAAATTTTTATTTATCTTATTAGTAATCTTATTGTTTTTAGACTGAGTTAAAACGAGCAACGCATCAAACCATCAAAGAAAAACGAAAAGCACAGTTAGATGCTAGGATGGAGATGATTTGTGCAAAAAGACAAAAAAGACTAAAAAAACTATCGAAAACCGAGTCGAATTCTATACAAGCCGACATCACAAAAGCTGCTAACACATTATCTATATCATCATCATCACCAAATGCATTAGCAACAGTTCCATGTTTAACAACGGAAGAGAAAACTACAAGCAAAATTGAACAAAAACCTTTGGATAACATCGACACATCTAATTTATTATCAAATCCCGAACAGGCAGTAAATGATTTATTGTCAAACATTAGAAGACAAGTAGAACAAGAAAGAAACGGAAAGGTCTCTTAAGAATTATTTTGAAACTTCTAGGAAAGTTATTTCCTTAATTTAAGTTTCTATATTAAAATTCGTAAATAATTTCTGATAACTACTATATATTTCATTTCCTAGATCATTACAAATAAAATATGATAAAATAAATAACCAGATTATTTTTAAAGAGATAATAAAATTATTCCCAAAAATGTTTTGTTTTTTTTTAATTCTTGATTATATGATAATAATATTCAACCCATTAACTTGTTCGAGGTTAAGATTCTTCCTTTGTTTCGGAATGAGGTTTAACTTCATTACTTTGATTATTCATACGAGAAATCACTGCATCAGCGCCCAAATAAATGATAAAAGCTCCAACACCCCAAGAAAGACCAGGCCAAGTATGTCTTAGCGAATTACGAACAGATAAATGTGGAGTATTACGCCAGGCTTCACGTTTAGCCCAAGGATCGTGTAATTTTTGAATAGGCATTTTATTGTTATGATTATATATAAAATTTTTTTAAAAAAATTAACACGGTTGAAAGATTTGGTGGCTTAGAACATTCACAACGAATCAGGGATAATAATTTTCTGCGGTGATAAAACCAAATTCTGTGATATCATGTGACACTGATTTTGGGTAACTTTGTTATTCTAAAGTCCTATTCCATTTTGATTTTTTTGAAATTATTTTAACCAATTAAAAATGGTAAGGATAAGATGTAAATTATACTTTATAAATAATTCTTTTAATAATAAACTAAATAAATTAGATGATATTTTTAAATTAATAAAAGTAGTAGTTCTTGTTTTATCTTTTCATATTCTTGAATATATAATATTATTATATTTAAATATTAGTGATATAAAATATTATCTTTATATAATAATATATACTTTAAAAAAATTTATAATAGAAAAGTAGCAGTTTAATAAACTAATACAAATTTTACAGCATGATGTAATATTTCAAAATCAAAAAAAAAACTACAAGGCACTAGTTGATTTTTAATTAGTAATATTTTTTTGTGTATTGGTTTTAAAGATAATATTATAAGTATTTATTTTAGATTTGAAAATATTATAATTCTTTATGTAAATTATATAATAAAAGCTATAAAGAATAAAAAATCTAAATTTATTTAATAGTCTAAAGATAATATTAAAACAGTTATTTATACAGGATTTTAAAATATTGATAAGTTTTAAAATATTATTAAAGTAATAGATAAACTTATTTTATTTTCAATAAAGCATATATATAAGATTTTATAGCATTTTTATAAGAAAAAAAGATATGCAATTTAATGTTAAGAAATTGTTAATTTTTGAGAAATTTTTATTCAAAGTATAGAATTATTATAGAATATATATTTAGTAGATTAAAAATTAAATTTAAAGCTTTAAAAGAAATATCTGTAAAAGGTTTATTAATTTAGCTAATTATGTTATTTTATTATATAATTTCTTGAAATTTATAATGAAATTTAAGAAGGTAAAAACTAAGATGATAATTATTATAATAATTAATTTAAATTTGAAAATAAAAGTAATGCAATTTTATTATTTAAATAAATTTAAATTTAATTAATAATAATAAATTTATAATTAAATTTAAAAATAAAATATTTTATTTGATAAAATTAATGAACTAGACAAATCATTTATTATTAAATTCTAAAAAATGATGATAAATTGTTTAACATAAATTGAATAATAAATAATCATTTTTTGATTCTAAAAAATGATGTTAGATTATTTAATATGAATCAAATAATAAATAAATAAATCATCTTTCAGTTTTGAAAAATGATAGCAAATCATTCAATATAAATTGAATAAAATCAATAATCTTTTAATTCTAATAAATAATGATAAAATTGATACTATAAAACTGAATTATAGAAAATTTTATTAATCACATATTAAATATTTAAATAAGATTATTATAAAAATTTATTAAAAAGTAAAATCTTAACAAATACTTTATTTATTTATTTATTTGTTTATTTTTTGAAATTTTAATATTTTTAATTTTAATTTAACTTTTTTATTTCAGATAAATAATTTTCTATTTTTAACTTATTATTTTTTAATTTATATTATTATATTAAGCATTTTTTTTTATTTTAAAATTTTACATTCCTTTAACTTTAATTTTTTCATAAACCTATCTCTTGATTCTCTCTTTACAGTAATTATTTTAGGTAAACCTTCAATTTCATTAATTTTATTATTTTTTTAGTTTTAATATATTATTATTTTCTTTATTATTTAAATTTTCATTATCAAAAATAGAATTTATAGTTAAAAAATCTGAATTAAGAAATTTACTTTATTATAAAATTTTTTATTTGTAAAAACTAAATTTAATTAATACTTCCTTTATTAGCTTTTTCTTTTTTTACAGATACATTTTATAAAATTAATCTAATAATATATTTATTTACTATCTTTTGATAAGCTTTTACTTCACATTTTTAATCTTCCAAATTTTTATTTAAAAATTTAAGTAAATTTTAATTTTCATGTCTATCAATTTGATATTATTTTTATTTAGATTTATTTTATTTTATTAGAATTTTTTATTTGCATTTAATAATATAAAAAAATAATTAAATAAATAAATATTATCTCTTCAAGCATTTTGCAGACAAATTTGCCTGCAATTTTATTTAATAATTAAAATTATTTATAATAATTTTAAATATTT